TTTAGCTTGTTTTTTTTACTTGTGTGCTTACTTTGTTTCAATTCATTGCACTCAATTTGTTGATTTTCATTACTGTTTGGCTCATTTACTTTGTTTTCTTTGTTATTACATTTCTAGCACTTATATTTTTTTGAAGTTTATCGAGCTTGAATTTGTATTGTTTTACTTGATCTCTTTAATTGCTTTTGTTGTTTACTTGTTAATTTAAGTTTTTTTTAGCTTAATTTAAGTTCATTTGCATTCTAAAAGTGTAGATCTAGATTTTAATTTTAGCACTAGATCTAGGTTTCAGTTTTTCTATTCTTTATATTTTCTTGCATTTCCTTTTGAGCGCTTTCAATTCCCTTGCATTGTAATTCAAGTTAAGCAATTGTTTTTGCATTTACATTCTTGTTCAAGGTTAGATTCATTTCAATTTAAGTTGAAATTACTTTTTAAGTTCATTAGCTACTTATTTTTAGTTTATGCAATTTATTTCTTTACACATGCTTTACTTTCAAGACTAGATTAGTAATGCTTGTGTTGATTAAAAAAATTAACTATAGATAGGGTATGTTAATAATAGTTAATTAGCTAAGACTTTTTCACTAGTCTTTAAAGGAACAATACTTTGATTTTTGTCACTATTATTACTTGTACGGTCTATGCACTTGTAGAATTAACCAATCAAAACACTTGGGTGGCTTGAGTCTTAACTGTTTTCCATTCATTAGCTTGATGTAGTCTTTGGTGTTGTGATCGTGATCTCTATGGAAAACAGATCTTTTTGTCGGATCATTTGTATAGTTCTAACTTAGTGGCTTGGGCCATTTGAGTTGAGCTTCCCTTCTTATTTGCATTAAAATCCTCTCTCAGTAGGTATTCAATGCATTATAGTTGTCATATTTATTCCTTAAGCTCCTCTCTTTAAGGTACCGTTTAATGGATTTTTTACTTTTAGGGGATTTTCAATCTCTCTCCCATTCTTTTGTCAAAGTGTAAAGATGTCCTTCTTTCACCTTGATTATTTTTCATTGTAGCTTCAATGTTGATATATTTTTTGATCTTAAGAGTAGGTCCGTAAAAGTTTTCAGGGTTTCCAAAGAGAGAAAGCTTTAAATGATATTCTTTGTTGTCAAGCCCATTTTGAGGGCAACCATAATTGTAACTTGCTCTAAGTCTTTAAGTTAAAGAGTTCAGCATTAAAATGCATTGCCAATGCTTTCAAAGATTCTTTATGTCTTTAACTAATCGACATGAGGCTAAAAGTAGTCTTTTTTGTTTGACAACTTCTTATAAAGTAGGTCAAGAATGAATGGCCAAGCTGTTTGAAATAAAAGATCAATTTGCATTCAAGGTTGGTGTATTAAGGTTGAGCTGCTCCTTTTAATGTTTTAGGAAAAGCTTTACATATCAATGGCTCATCACCTCCTTGTATCAACATATTGGTCATGAAAAGTTTGAGATTATAAAAAAGATTAGTAGTGCTATAATTAGTCTTAGTAGTAGTCATTTTGAATCGCTTGGGAGAAAGAGCTTCGTCTATGAACTTAGTAAAGGAGAGGTTTCCAAAAAGTTGAGCTCATAATCAAATATTGAGATTTTGTTTTTAAGTTCCTTTTCTATGGCCTCCTTATTAGATATTAGATTTTTGTTGGCTTGTTGTTATGAGGTGGAATGTTGGACTTTTAGGTGGTCTATGTCATGGTATTGGTTGGATAGTAACTTTTTAAAGTTCCATCTTCATTTATGGCCAATGAGTCAGCCTTACTATCATTATATGTTGATAGCTTTTAGGTTTGGTAGTTTCTTTGGGCTATAGCCATTGGTTCTTTGAAGGTTTGGGAAAGTGTTTGGATAAGCTCATTAAGGGTCCTTAAGGGATTGTAGGTGTTAGGTTAGAGCTTCAAATTGTTCTAATGTGGGTGCAGTTTGAGTAAGTCTCTATTGGTTGGGCTTGCTAAGTTTCAGTTGCAGTGGGTTGATTTTGCTTTTTGGGAACTTTCTTCTTTAGAGGCATTATGAGCTTAACTAAGTGAGAAGATCCCTACCTAGCACCAAAATGTTGGTGCCAACTCTTTTTAGAGGGTAAAGATATGAAATCATAGAAAATTAGAGATTAGTTGTTGATAAAGTTGGAGTTATTTTTGACTTTTGTGCTTTGATGCTTAAGTCACTACTTGAAAAAAAAAAGGGGGAAATTTATAGAAAGAATGTTGAGAATTGATTGCCCATACCTAGGGGAGAAGAGGTATTTTTATCTGTTGGAAGATATGTTCAAATCTTGGTGGTTTGAGTTCTTAAAGCTAGGTTTGGTGCAAATGGGCCGACTTGACATGGCAAGGAAACTTTCAACAGAAGAATGATGACTCAGCATATTCACATGCTATCAGGTGGGATGCAGTGTTGGTCGAACTTTCGTGGACTCCGATGAATAAGATTGGCTACCATGTCAACTTGGTCCAATGACCAAAATGGCCTTGAGACAAAAGTGAGTCATTTTCTTGTAATAAAAGACAATAATACATTTATGGCCATAAATAGCTCTAGTAGAGAATTATTTTTGCTTTTGCTTTCAAATCGAAATAAAGAATAGATATGATCTCTTGTACTTTTTTCATTAATTTACAATAAAATAAACAAAAAACTTTTTGCATTTTATTTCATCAACTTGTGAAGGAAGTAAATTATAACAACAACTAGAGAAAAGAAAAAGAAAATAGGAGACAAACACTTAAAAATGAAAAAAAAACATGCTTTTATTTTTTGTGAACAAAAAGAATTCTACACTTAGAGGTGTGTGAGCAAACTTTTCAAACCCTAATTTAAAATTGCAAATTTTCATTTTTATATTAATAATTGCATAAATAATAAGTCAAAATGTTTTATTTTTGTACTATTACTTCTTAAATTTTATTTGTGTTAGATTGGTATAATTCAATATTTGATATCAGATGCTTGGTGTTTGTTAGATTGTTAGATGAATTAAAATTTGTTAGGTTATTATATGAATTAAGTTACTATATTTAGTGATTTAGTTATTTTTTAAAAGATACTAATTGTTAAAAAAAAAGAAAATACACTCATAAGATATTTTAAAAAATTATTGAAACAACTAATTTAACTAAAAACATAATAATCTTGACAATACTCAATGATATTCAAAATAAACCCATTTGAAATTGATTTAAAAATCTACTCGTAGATTTTGTGTTTCATATTATAATTTTGAATCATATTAATAACTTATTGACTCTATCAAATAAAATTATTGTTTCTGTCAATGAATAAGATTTATAGTAATAATTTTTAGTTTTTCCTTTAAAATAAAGAGAGAATCCCATTTTAAAATTTACTTTCTATTTTTTCACTATTATAAAAATTTTTATGACAAAAAAAAATTTGTATATATAGTTATTTCAATTTTTTTTTCTTTTACATTTTAGAATAATTGTAAAACTTTTTATTTTTTAATTTTTATCTAAATAATCAAAATTTTATTTCATCCATTACATAGGACTAATATTTATTTTGTTTCAATATTTTTTCTCACTTACATAGGTGCATTCGAATTTAACTAAACTTCTATTGAATGTGCGATTTTAGTTGAGAAATGTGGTAATTGTATTGTATATCAACTTTTTGTGCATTTAGATTTAATTATGTCACACATGGTAGACTAAATAACTTGTGTATTGTCTATATAAAATATTGAAATTTGTATATTTATATTGTATTTTATATAAAAATTATGTTACAATTTGTGTTGACACAAAATTAATAAATATATATTTTTTACTTTTTAAATTCATATATAATTATTATTAAAATTTGAAATAGTATCACATGTGTTCTTTTTTCGTATCGTATTTATTTCTTATTTTAAATTATACGAAGGAATGTTGGTGGTCATTGGTCATTTGAGTCAAGTGGACTACCGACCATTCATTTATTTATATTTTTTTACCTTTTATTTGTTATTGTAAATACAAAAATATCGATATAGTTTTTTTTTTTCTTTTGATTCTTTATTTACAAAAATTTTAAAATAATTTTTTAAATTTAATATAAAAATTATTTGATATATTATTATTTTTATTAATTTTAAATTATTTAACAAACTAATTATTTTTAGAAAAATAATTTAATAATTTATAATAATTTATTAATTTTATAAATATTAAATAATTTAAAAATTATTTTGTATATAATTTTTAATTTAATGCTTTTAGTGATTTTTTTATTCAATATACTTCACGTTATCATCATTGATTTTTTTATATATAAATTTATGTCTCATCATAAATTTTAATCTTATCGTTATAATAATTAATTATATTTTTTATTATTTTTAATCTCATTAGCAATAATACATTTAAGTGAACTCATAATAAATGTGATAAGATCTAAATCAAAACAATTTGAAGTCAAAATGACAAGCAAACCTAAACAATTGGCATTTATGAAAGACAATAGAAAAGATTTAAAACGGACGGAAGTATCAAGTAAAAAAATGTACATTGTGAACAAGATAATTTATAAGGGTGAGTAATTAGTCGATTCGATCTATTCAGTTCGATATAAAAAATTTAATAATTAAATTAATTAATTTTTATTCAACAAATGGTCGAATTGATAAAATTTTTTTAAATAATCAATTATAATCGAATGGATCAAAATCGGTTCGATTTAATTAGTTCAATTAAATAATTAAATTTTTATTTTTTTTATTACGAATAATTATCTAACTACAAATTCAATTAAATAAAATTTAAATTTAAATATCATCCAAACTAAATCACTAAAAAATTTAATAGTTTTAATAATATTTCTTAAAAAAAAACAAAAATTCACATTTTAATTATTTTTGCTTTAACTTATTAATAAATTGATTAATATAATCAATTCGGTTATTAATTTTAAAAATAAAAAATCAATCAAATTAATAAATTTAATTAATTCAAAAAATTAATTATAATTAAAATCAAATAAATCAAATAAAATCAATCGAATTCATTAAATTTCGGTTGATTCAAATCGAGTATTGCTCCCTCTAATGATTTGGATTCAATTCGGCGTTGTAATCGTCGGATCAAAATCCGAATAATCCAAGGGTGCAGATCAAAACCCTAAAGGCATAAACGCTGGAGCTTGCTCTCTGGGTTCTAAAAGACCCTCATTTTTCATCCATTGTTTGCAGTAGCGGTTTTCATTCTCGCATTGATAAAGGTTCAATACTTAATTCGCTGTCTCTTTCATTAATTGATATTTGCATTCTATAAAAGAAGTTGTTACTTTCTACTGTTTCTATCGGTTTTATAATTTTCGTCGTTGATTCCTTTGTCTTTAGATCTGATAACTGAAATTGCTTTCGTTTTCAGTTTTTGTCATTTGTGATTTTTCATTTTCCTTTCTTTTCAATTTTTTTGTCACCTTTCCCCTCTTTTTTTCCTTGGTTTTCTCTTTTGCTTATCATACAATTACAGGCTGAAAAAGGGATAACATAGTGACTGGATAGCCTTTTTCCTTCTCTTTTTTTAAAATTATTTCTTATTGGTTTCAATCTTTGTTATTTTGTCAGAGCTGAGAAGGATGGTTTGATAAGGTGTGAGTTCGTAGTTCATTTCATCATTGTAATTTGTTTTCCTTATTTCAGTTTAATTGCTGCAATATTAGTAACTACAAAAATTTATGGTTATGTGATATGTTTTCTGATATTTCCATGCCTATTGTATCTTTTCAGTGCATGATTTTTTATGGTTCTTCCGTACTGCGTTTTATTATTATTATTATGTTGATTTATACTTCTGATAAGCTTGTTACCTCATGTCTTTCTTTGTTTTGATTGTGTGTATCTTGGGTCTTGCTTGATGTAATATTCTTGTTTATCGTCTTGCTGTTTACTCCTTTGGACAGATGAATGTGGAGAGGCTCATGAAGATGGCCGGTGCAGTCCGCACTGGCGGAAAGGGTAGCATGAGAAGGTATGTTCATCGTTTGGCATTTCCTTAGATAGGCTAGCTATATGAAGTTTATCAGTCGTTTTTCTGCCCTTGTAGTTGTTCATAACCTAAATTCATCTGAAATTGTAGGCCAATTGGATAAGTGCTTGAATTTCGATGTCTCTGTATAGTTTGCATATTAATCATTGTCTTGTTATTTTAACCTATGTTAACAGAAAGAAGAAGGCTATCCACAAGACAACAACCACTGATGACAAACGACTACAGAGCACACTCAAGAGAATTGGGGTGAATGCTATTCCTGCAATTGAGGAAGTTAACATATTCAAGGATGATGTTGTTATCCAGTTTATTAATCCAAAAGGTAGATATTGCATAATTGAAGTGGACCACATAATTTATTCAAATGTTTTGCATGATAAACTAATGTGTGATGGTCTATATTCCAGTGCAAGCTTCAATTGCTGCCAACACCTGGGTTGTTAGTGGTTCCCCTCAGACAAAGAGTATACCTCTCTTATCTTTAAAGCCTCTGAAAGTTTGATCTTATTGCTATTTACCCTTTGAAAATTTGATATTATTAACTCTGAAGGCATCAAAGACTAGGGGTTTTTCTCAGCCACAATGCTCTTTCTCTTATATTTTTAGCTTTGTTATTTTGACATGTGCTTTTTCCCCTATTCCAGAATTGCAGGATATTCTCCCTGGAATCATCAACCAATTGGGTATGTACTCGTGGCATTATTTAGTACTCCAATTTTTTTTTATTGTTTCTGATTGCAGATTGATATAAACTTTTGACCCTTATTCTATAAACTTTAGGGCCAGATAACTTGGACAACTTGAGGAAATTGGCAGAGCAATTCCAGAAGCAGGCACCTACTACTGGTGCAGGTGCAACTACCACTCAAGAAGAGGATGACGATGACGTACCAGAACTTGTGGCTGGTCAGACCTTTGAAGCTGCAGCAGAAGAAGGCCAAGCTGCTAAATAGTGTTTTTAGAGAGGGTTTTGTTGTGTTATTTTATATGTTTTAATGAATTACCATTGTTTCTTTTTCCTGTGTACTCTTTTGTTCTAGTTTGTGCACTCCCCTGCACTCTAATATTTTAGTTAAGAACGAGTCTACTATTTCTACAATTTCTGTTATTGCGGACTTGGTACACGATATAGTGGCGTTTCTTTGGACACCAGACCAGATGCTTCCTCTCCAAAGACCAATAAATGGTCGTAAAGCACACTATCTCTGCGGTAAATATTTCCTACTAGAATAAAAACTAGGCATATGAGCTTTTGATGGTTGGGGGTCAGGTTTTTTTCCATGGTAATATGATCATCATAGATGTTCGAAGGGCAGGGCACTGGCATTGATGACTCAGCTTGCTGCAACTGCTTACAGGTGGCTTCAATATGGGCGGCTATAAATGGATCTGGTTTTTTTTTGCCATAAAATGAAAAATGTTATCGTAATTACTTGCACATTTATAGCCTATTGGTTTTAGTAGTTTTGTAATGTCTCAATCGGATGATGTGTTTTTGTCCTTGAAAAAATCATTCCAACCAGCGCTACTTGAAAGTAGGCAGGTTTAAAAACACTGCTTTAGTGGGAAAATAACTTCCTAATTCTCAAAATTTTCAGGTACATATCCCTAAAATTTAAAGAGTAATTTGTTGGTAGTTAAACTCTTGACGTGATATCCAAATTTGTTCGTTAATTTTAACTTTTTAGTGTTAGCTAGTGCCACATGTTAGACACATGAAAGCTGTTATAATTAAAAATATGTAATTTAATTTTTTATTTTAATTTAATAAATTTACTTTATATAAAAAAAGTTAAAATGAATTAAAAATAAATAATAGCGTATATTATAGTTTAAAATGAATTTTATAAAAATTAAATAATTTATACAAAATATAAAAAGTATTTTGATATTTTTTTTCTTTTCTAATGCTCTAAAATGACAGTTTTGGTATTGTATAAAAACTCTAAAAAATCATACTTTTATCATTTTTTTTCTTTTCCTTCTTTTTCTCCATTTATCCTTTCTCTTTTAAGTTTTTCTCATTCAACCAACCACTGTCTCTAAACCCAAATACCAATGTCAGACCACCATTATCATTTCCTTCTATTGATATCGGTAGTTGCTCATTGACATCAGAATTTCACCAAAAATCAGCTTGTTGATCCCTTCAAACTCCTAAACTCTTCTAACTGACTAGATTTTTCTAAAAAGGTCTTAAACAAACATAGATCTAAGCCTAAATCCCAATTTGCTATTGCCATTTTCGTCATTGACGACCTCTATTTGTTGACTATGCTCTTACAAGTATATGGATCAAGCAATAGTATGGTACAGAGTAGAGTATTGTTCCCACAAAGTTTGTAATTAAAGTGACATTAAGTATTGAAACTAAACAGCCTAGATTATATTTAGAGAATTGAAAATTAAGCAATTATTACTTTTGTTATGCTTGTCCGTAAAGTAAACGAGGTTGATCACCACACTCGCCACGGCAACATGCATTGACTCCCATGTCACCTACCTAAGGTGATCAACATCTAAGTCTAACGTGATTGACATTTAAGAAATTTGCCCTAAGGCCACTCATGTAACCACTTGTACAAGCATCCCATTAACGAGTCACCTTACAATAGGCTACCTACCCTTAGGTCATTGAATGTCGACAACTTGTAACCCACGTGCACTCTCGTCAACTACATTTCAACTTTCCATCAACTTTCAACTGCTCACTTTGCATCACCATGCATGTGTCATATATAAGGTAAAAAGAGGTCTAGGTATGCTAATTTGAGTATTCTTCTCTAAGCTTTTGTTTTTGCTTTCATCTCTTTCCTTTACCTTATCCACTTTCACTTAGTTGACCTTAGTGTCAAAACACATTCCAAAATCCAAACTTTCGTTGCCCCTTATCATTCTTTCCTTGTTGTAGGCCCAAGTCACATCCACCTCACCTTTCGTCTAAGTTTCACCTCACCTTTCGTCTAAGTTTCACCTCATCACCACTAAAAATACCCTTAACAATTAGCACTATCTATTAGATAACTAGTGTTAGAGAGCCTTTAGAAAACTTAAGTAGTACCTCACTTCACCCCTACTTACTAGCATAATATTTTGCAAGCCTCTATACCTGTATTTAGCTTCTTTTGATGAAACTATGGTTGCACTATTAATAAAGGAATATAACAAAAATCAAGTGTAAATGTATCATACCAGCAGGGCATTAGAAAATGGTGAGGTCAATTGTACCAGGTTGGAGATGATAGCCTTTACATTAGTAGTGACTTTTCACTATTTGAAGCAATATTTCCAAGCTCATTTTGTAATTGTTTTTATTGGTTGACACTTCAAGAAGAATGGTTAAATGAAGCATCAATATTAGTGAATTTCACATCAAATATAAGCCTTAATAAGACTCCACATCCAGTAGAACAAAAAAATGAAATTTATAATCCCCCCACCACCCCAAATCTTTCACCTTCACTTATTAGACAACCCCCGATGATGGGACCCTTACCAACAAACACTTGTATGCTATATATGGATGGTTCTTGTAAAGATAGGTCAAGCACATGTATTTTATTTGAGGTGAAGGGATAACTCAACAAGAACCATTATCGATGCTATGGTTAGAGGAGCTTTAATAGGGAAGTCTATTGATGAAGCATATTAACTACTATAAGAAATAGCTTGAATGATAACCTATGGTAGTCTGAGAAATTCAACGCTTTTGGAAGAAATGCCAATTAAAGTCACTTTGTTTCTTGTGAAATATGTAGAGGGAACCAAGCTAATGAGAGACATCCTATCAACTTGAATTATAAACAACACTTCAATTTCTACAATCCAAGTTGGGAAAGTCATCCAAATCTTTTTTAGAATTGCAACCAATGGCTATTATCAATTTTTTTGGAGTCAATATACTCAAGTTATTTTGCTTATTGAGCTTCATTACAAGCTCCACTTTAAAAGAAAAAGCCATTTTTGGAAAAAAATGTTTTATTATATCATTCACGATCGAGAGACATTAATTTGAAACCTTAAAGATCAAACGAGTCAGATTGCTAGATCTATCAACAACTTTTCGAAAAGACTTTGCCTTGTGACATTGAGCTTATTCCAACAAAAGAGGCCAAAGAGCATTTTGAGGTAATAACCTTTATGATTTTCTATAAGCAAATTTCTTAGAAAGAAAATATCTGAAAACCTAAACTTATTTTCCAAGATTTCTCATTGCTATAGCAGTTATTGAAGACTCTTACATCTATAAATAGTCAAGCATTATAATGGAAAAGAGCATGGATTGAAGGGAATTATGTATCAATATATAAAGTAATAGTAGAGGAATTTTAAAATTTTAACCCCTTAAAACCAAGATCAATCAACAAGATCATACAAACACAACACATGAGTTTTGGCTAAAGGTAGTTTACCTCTAGTGCCAACTTTGCTTTGCACTTCTAACTAGTAAGTTTTGTGAAGCCCTCTTTTACTTTTGTCTTAAGTTTGTTCTTAATACATGAGATGAAAGTGCACTTTTTAAGAATTGCTCTTAGCTTGTAGCTTGTTACTTGTTCCAAGAGGGGTAGCTAATGCTCTTTACATAAAGAAAGGTTAGGCTAACTTAGAGTTATGCATAAGTGGCTTAATTCTCAATTAATCATTATGGATGCTGATTGTACATATCAAGTAGATAGTATGATTCTTGTTAATTTTCTCTATTTTTAGGTCTAATCCAATCCAAATTAAGTCCAACTTAATTTGACCTAATTTTAATCTTTCACAATTATCTTATTGTGTGTGGCCTATTAGGTTCCTTAGCATTTTGGTAATAAACACAAGCATTGTAATCCTTATATTTGGACTAATATGAATAAAAACTTTTGACTTTATCATTAATTCTCTAATTAGCCAATCTCATTTTTATAGACCATGACCAATACTAGTTATATTGTCATTTGTCATAACCCTCAATTGCTAAAAAAAGTCAAAATGGCTTGACAACCTCTCCGTGCATGGTCATAATGTATAATTAATATCCTTTCATCACAAAGCATCTTAGCTTGAACATTGAGTATGGTTTAGTATCTACTCAATCTTGTTCAATCATATTAATCTTGTCATTGACATTAACTCACAATTAAGTTTTAGAATAATTCTAAACTCTTATTTCACTTTGGTTAAAGATTTTTAGAATTGATTCAATCAAGACTAATTGAGATATTCTCTTGAACAAACAAGGTGATGAATCCCATCTTAATTACTTCATGCATCTTGGTTAGAACCATAAGTAAAGTATAACACTCATCATATAATATCATAAGTAGTCTCAAGTCAAAGAATCACTTATACAACCATCATATGAGAATGTAGGTATAGACATTATATGAACTACCATATAGCATTCTCATCTTTGGTCATGTTCAATAACTTGCAACAAGCACCCCTATGTTGGCTCAAGTTTACCCAAACTTTAACCTATGAGAACAGTTTCTTTTTTTCATAAGCAAGAGCATAACCATGTGTTAGTCTGAATAGCTTTTGTTAATGTCCTGTTATTTATAAAGCATCGATTGGGAACATTTTAGAAATATATAACTTTTATGCAATGAGGATCTTATAATTACAATTTCATTATAATTCTTTCGCAAAGCTTTGTTTCTATTATGATAACTTTATCATGTACGATCAATAAAAAAAATATGTGTACAAACTTAATGATAAAATAATCAAGACTTTTATTAGATTCAAATATAAAATATGTGTATGATCTTTCTCAATTTGTGTCTTAAGACACATGTCCTTGGAAAGATTTATGCTTTGTGACATTGGCAAGAATCTTTTTTTGGATTATTCCATGCTAAACCTCTTTAGCACTTTGTCTATATATTCAAATTATGAGAGGCCAAGCAATCTTTTTGATTTATCTTTATAGATCTTTATGCCCATTACATATGTTGTTTCTCCTAAATCCTTCATAGAGAACTTATTTGATAACCAAATCTTGGTAGATTGTAGCATAAGAATATTGTTTCCTATAAGTAATATGTCATCCATATATAACATTATGGAAACGATTACACACCCACTAGTCTTTTGTATACACAAGGTTCATTTATG